TGCCGTAAAGAATATTAGGATCCTCATGTGTCCATGGCATTTGTAACATTTTATCATCAATATTGTTTTGAAAATTTTCTAAACGTTTATTTGTTACTGGTCTTAATTCAATGAATTTGGGCTTAGTAGTGTCATTTGTATTATATGTTATTTTTAAGCCGTAATGATCTGATGTGATACAATTAATAATTGATTTACTAACTGGATTATAATCAGTAAATATATTATCCAAACAAGTAGCTGAATGAGATGTTACTCTAGTAGGCTCAAAAAATTGATGTACCAAATTAAAACATTTGAATAGTGATGTTAGGCGAATTGACATTGAATTATTTTCAAGAATGTTAATATTGAAGTCACCAACTACAATCAAAAACTTATTTTTAGACTTTAACTTTTTTAGAACATTCTCCATCACTGATTCAAAAACACTAATGTTGCCTAGAGGGGGTCTGTATACACATACTATAATAAATTCACTGAATTCAACGCAGGATAGCTCAATAATACGTTCTACTGAGAGGCCAACTATGTCCTTCTTATCCCTAGTTTTTATATTTTTATATACACAAAAATTAATGTGCCACCATGTATAGCTGCAGTACGAACATATGCACTTATCATTTGAAAATTGTTTATGCTAAAAGACACCTCAGAAGACTTAAGCCAGTGTTCAGATAAACAGATAACATGAATATCCTGGCTCTTTGCAAATAGTTCTAATTCTAAATCTTTGCCAGCCAACCCTATTTATTACTCCGCGTGTCATATTTCGTGAGATACTGTACTGTCATGTAGTGTAGCGGCAATTTGGTACTGTAATAATTCTTTCTTTAATTATAATTTGTATTGAACTATTATTACTGTGCTAGGCTGACCTAAATATATTTTTAGGAAAATTGGTCTGATATATCGATATATAGATGTTTTTTCCGCGATATATCGAAGCCGATATTGATATTTTTTTTAAATATCGATGTATCGATATATCGATATTTTTTTCAACTTTCGACATCCCTACTCCGGTAAGCATGCAGCGCGTGACCCACCCGCCCCTCGCCCCGTACCGCACCTTTTACCACCAAATAGACCGATAAATCGCCTACTGCGTGAAGGTCAGAAGCTACACCATCGGTTCGCAAAACTACGGCAGGAGACCTTGTACTAAGAAGAACCGGCAAGAAACTCAGCACGGGCTGCTTTTTTCTACAGAGATATATATAGTCATCAAGTTGAAATATGACTTCAGAGATACTTCTGAAGTCACCAGTATTTGATCATCTATTATAGTAGGATACTAAATTCTACAGTAGGGTTGGCAACCCTAAGCCTAACCTCCAGCGTTCTTTTTACGTGACGCGACCTATAAAGTCATTCTACGGAACTCAAATTTTGGAGTGGACAGAGGTTTCCGAGTTTATTTTCTTTAGTCGAGAAAAATCAAGCAATTTAATACTTGTTTAAAGTGTGTGTAACGTTTTATCTGAAGTTGTTTTTAAGGTTCCGCACCTCAAAATGATTTTTGAAGTGAAATCTTTACGCACGCTTGACTTGGGGGCTAAGCTGGCGAATGCGTTACGCGTTACGAAAAGTATGTAACATATATGTACATACATTGCAAGTTAAATAAAAGCTTTTAAAAAGCGGAAACCCTTGTTTGTAGGATCACTTTGTTGTCTGCCTCCCTGTCATGACTCTTTATCTCGGGAACGCGTGAAGGTATGGAGTTTTAAACACACAAGTCAAGTCAAAAATATAACTTAGAAGTTAGCGTAAAAATTAATACGCCCGTTTGTGTCCGGAACCCTCGGTAGGCGATTCCAACTCGCACTTGTTCGATTTTTCATAAATTATGTGGACAAGCTTCCACCGTGACCTAGCGTGCTACACTCGTGATTTCATGATAAGCCGTAATTTAAACTTAATAATAGTTTTTTTTATTGCTTGTCTTTTCTTGACTGAAGGTAACTTGGACAAGTTATCCTGTTGAAATCTGGAATGGACAGTTATGGTTCGGGCCATCCTCCAGTTTTCCCCGAATGCTTTTATGAATTTTCTCCGAATGGTCAAGGGCCCATGGCTTGCTCAAGAGAGATTTTCAAAAAGTATGTAAGCTGTACACTTATTCTGTCAGGTTTTCCCAAAAGAACAGGTAGTCCGAGAACCGGCCGTATAAAAGTTCTATGGAGCAGATACATGAATAATTTTTGGGGAATGAACAATAAAGCCATAGGTCTAGCGGTCGACACCCCGGAAGTTGCTTGATTTTGCCCGCATGCAAGATTATGACGTCACTTCCAGTTATTATTTTAGGTGTAATTGTAATTGAAATACATCAAGAAAATTTATGTCAAACGAAAGTTTTTGATGAGTAGAATAGAAATGTCAAGGGTCGACAAGCTCTATTTATTCGCTACCCTGAGTCAACCACCATTAAAAATATTTATTTTTTAATTTATCTCAAGTCATCGAATACATGGATTTGTATAAGATTTTCTGAAACCTCTCAAATGACTGAAAAAAATTGGTCGACACCTTTTATTTGCCCGGATCTGCCTGTCGACTTAGTTTACGGCAACTTGGGTAAGTCCAATTTCGAGGAAGAGGTAAACCGTCGAATCCAACTCGGCTGGGCAGCGTTCAGGAAACTGCGCGATGTCTTCTCGTCTGAAGTACCTCCATGCCTGAAGACCAAGTTCTTCGAACAATGCGTGTTGCCAGTGATGACATACGGAGCTGAGACGTGATCATTGACAATGGGCATCATAAGAAGGCTCGGAGTCGCACAGCGAGCGATGGAGAGAGCTATGCTCGGTGTTTCTCTACGTAATTGAATCAGAAATGAGGAAATCCATAGAAGAACTCGACTAACCGACATAGCTACACGGATCGCCATGCTGAAGTGGCAATGGGCGGGGCACATTGTTCGGCGAACCGATGGGCGTTGGGGTCCTAAGGTGCTTCAATGGAGACCCCTTACCAGGTGGACTGCCGACATCAAAAAGGTCTGGGGGACCCCCTGGATTCGGAAAGCTGAGGATCGTTATGTTTGGAGATCCCTAGAAGAGGCCTATGTCCAGCAGAGGACATCCATCGGCTTATTATGATGATGAGTTTATTTGTTAGGGAAGACCTAAGAGAGTTGTGACAATTTTAATTTTTAGGCAAATATCTCGTTCCTTAAACAATTTACAGTTATGGCTTATGTGAATAAAAATAGCACATTTCCTTTGGGGAGGATGTAGGTATTATGGTCTTTGAAAAAATCAACAAGAAAGTACTGCCCGGGTGTCACAACTCTCTTATCACCGAGGTTAGTTGTAACAGGTACAGAGGTGACAAACACCAACACTTATTAAAAATGATGAAATTTTCTTTTCTTGCCATAAGTTATGTTATCATCTTTTACCATATGAAATACCTATAACATTACCACAATAAGTGATTATATCTTTTGAGTAAGTTTGGCATGGCTTTGAGATCCTCAAGATTATATTCAGTCAAAAATCTGATAGCAATTATGGTGGTTTAATGGTCTAAGCAATTATGAGAAATATATTGCAGCTCGCCTATAGTACAATCTACGTGTGACCAGGGGGCCAATCGCCTAACTGGATTGCTTTGGAAAACGCTATCGCTTACGATTTCATTTTGTTATTTCTAACCGCCGAAATACCTCACGCTCATTTTCTTTAACTTTGTTATTACCAATGCAAAAGAAAAAAAAGAGCGCGAGGCATTTGAAAACCTCAGGGGGCTAGAAATAACAAAATGAAATCGTAAGCGATAGCGTTTTCGAAAGCAATCCAGTTAGGCGATTGGCCCCCAGCCTTTGCATTCTAGAGATTGCACCCACTCGTCATTGATTTTTGAGCATTTAGAAAAGTTGTGAGGGCCTGTCACAACTAGGTGTCCTCACAACTCTCAAAATCACGACTTTGAATAAATAATTCATATTTTCTAAATACGATTAAAACACAAAAGATCAGTGAAACGCTTTAAGACTTAAATAACCATTCAACTTTGAGAAAAAATAACACAACAACGCACATGTGTTAAGAAATGATATAAATTTAATCAAAATTTTGAAGAAAAATGAACTTTAGTTTTTTGTACGTAGACGTCGTAATTACGCAACCGCTTCTGGTGCGTCGGCGTCGCCGCAGCACCCGCACTGAACGAAATAGCACGTATATGAAGCTGCGTTTTTGCCATCTCGCCAATTATAATAGGTTGAGAGAAATCGTGTCCTCCAGCGTCGGACAACTATCCTCTGTCACTACTCTTCTAGGTGTCTATTACGTTACGTTATCATCTCGGATAAGCTACATAAAGAATGAATACGAAATTCGGAGGTTTTAAAGTTTAGGTGGACCCTAGTTATTCATGGCGCATCCACACTGAGATGATTTTTGGTTTATATTGCCCGCATTAAAAAGAGGTTGGACAGGTGCGTTACTTTGGACGCCGATGTAGTAGCGTCTTATTCGGAAATTGTAGGTAGGTATCAATTGAAACGGACTTTCGCAAGTAGACGCCCGATGTCAGAATGAACTGACCAGTATTTGTCGAGGCAAGTGTGTGTCGGGCCACGTGCAATATAGGGTTCCGTATTTCCTTAGTTCTCACCACAAAACGCAATTAACAAATTTTTAAGTAGTATTATGCTCTCGCTTCAGAAGGGATGGACGAACACTTAACTTAAATTAATAAGCGGTGCAAAAAGGAGCACTTATTAAAATTGAATACCTAGTGTTCTATTCAAATCACTCCTACTATAAGTACCTTAGTCCCATATTTGATTCTGATATATGATTAATAAATGATAATTTTTCATTTCAAACCTTTTGCAGATTCTGTGGTCTCTCATTTATAAATAAATATTTTTTATAGTATATTCAATTACATATTATAAAAAAGGTAAAATAAAAACCTAAAAAAAGGCATAAATTTAACTACTACTTGAAATTTTCATGAAACCAATTTATTTTCAAGATAGGCTCCACTTATATTTAATTTAATACATATACACACTTAAAATTCAATCTGTTCAAAAAACATAATTTAAAAGCAATTTACACCAGAAAGTATAATTAATCATGGAAGGCAGGAAACAGCCTCATGTGTTAGGTACCATTTGGCTGCTGGGCTGATGCTCATCTTTACCACTGATTAAGAGCTTAAACTAGATACTCGGCCTAAAGCAATTTTTTTATGCTTAAGTAAAATAGTAATGTTCACAGCCTCCGCACAGAGACAAACCATGGCCTATGGGCCCTATCAAAGAACACTATTATTTCATCCATCTACCAGTATCATAAAAATCACTGCTAAAACAGTCTTATACAACTATATCTTTACCTATACTAGCTTTACTTAAGTAGTCTTATTAAAAGCTTTATATGTTATATAACACTATAATAAAATCCCAGACTTGACTATAGGTATAGACTAGAGAACAATTAGTTAAACTAAATAAGTTAATTAAATGATTTATCCTATATCGCCTGCTTCATTATAAGGCTCTTCCTTGTGTTCTTCAGTTAACAGCGACTGCAACTCCGAATATATAATTTCAAGCATCATTAACCGTGGCTTTGTGTACTGAAAAAATAAAATAACACTTAGTACTTACAAAAACACAAACACAGTGACTTAATACGAAAATTCAAATTAGTAACAGTGGCCCATTCCCTCTTTGTTAATTTACAGGAAAGGTCTAAAACCCAATGATAGAAAAAATACACTAATTTTATTGGATCTTGGTCCAATAGCTGAGTTCTAATGATCGATCGATGGGCATGCATTGGACAAGCTGCGTTATGAAACAATACTTTTTTAATATTATAATTACTTATGAAGCAAAATATTTTAATAAGGTGATTGTTTTTTCTTTCTAAATAATATGATCCAATCTCTTCCAGTGAATCCAGTAGCAACTTCATATTTTTATATGGATAGTGCGATTGATAGAACCACAGGCAATCATGAAATTGCCCATGGATAGCCAGTAGAACTAGACAATCCGATCACCCAGGCAATAAAGAACCAAAAGTCATCAAACGTTAATATTCATCTAAATTTTATCTAGACTGCTATTTTTGGATTTATTTTTACAAAAATAAGAATAAACAATAATATACGACATACCTTAAACAGTGGTACTAGTTTAATTGGTTCAGAATCATTTTGGGTATTTTTTACCAGTACTGTCAGGTAAAATAAGACTCGATTCTGAAAAAAGGATGAAATTATATAAAATTCTAGATTTAAGGTTCATTAATTTGTATTATGGACCTATGGTAAGAATTGTTACATCAGACATGGGAGTATTGGTATTTTACCATTTTTGATGGCAACTTATGCTTTACCTATTATCTGTATAGTGAATAATAATGTTACAAGGGAGAACTGTGACATGTTCTTCCTTGAGGCAAGTTTTTTAGAAACACAATCTGTTCCATAGTCTAGCGAATCATGTATATGATAAGATTATTAACACTAGAAATTGTATAGACTTGGCTATTATTTACCAATTTTATCACTTCATTGATAATGACATCGTCAACATAAGACCAAGGAATGAAGTTATCTTCTCTCCCACAGACATATTTTACAGAACTCTGTATACCTACTGTAGGTATAACCAATACACTCTCTGAAAACAAAATTTAATAATTATACTAAAAACTAATTGGTTCAATCATAAAAGGTTAGTTCTTTGGAAGGATATACCTTTTTATAAAATTATTTACTAATAGAAATGAAACTATTATCAGCAAGTTTCTATTAACTTTAGCTTGATTTAAATTATTGACTGAATGAAACGCTATGAATTTATGTCTCAAATAAAGACAACTTACCAGACTGTACACTATGTGTTATCCAGAAGAAAATCAAAAAGGACAGAACAGTAATTATAATAATTGTTGAAGTGAAACTGATTCTCAAATAAAATAAAGCTATAATATTAAAAAATACAGCAAAAAATAGGGACAATTTAGGCCACAAGGACTTATTTTCTTTACTTTTGTAAGAAATTATAAAAAGTCTGGAATGAGGCGAATCCTTGCGAATATCAACCTTCAAACAAAGTGTGACACCGTTAACGTTACCATATTCAACTACTTTTTCAGTACAACTCATTGTTGTTGAATTTTCATAGAAAATTACCTAAATAAATTCATCTCAAAACAACTAAGCCTATTTTGACAGTCGCTTTGTTTCGTTTCGTTCGCAACAACCACAGATAAAACTTATTTCTCGAAAATACTTTGTGGGACCTAAACCCAAAGACTTTATATAATACCTAGACTGTGAACGAAAAAAATTGGTTAAAGTAAGATTTAAATATCTGTAGTAATAGGATCTTGTTAAGCGGTCGCTAGTAGGCATGCGTCCGACATATCAAAACGAATCCAAAATCCGATTTCAAACACAAATCGATACCGAACGATTTCTCAACAAGAAAATCCGATTTCAGAAATCTAACCGAACCAAAACGCTAGCTAGCGATCTAATACCACCACAAGTATCCAAATGTAAATCGGATTCGAAATTCGTGCTTTAGTTTTCGGAAGTCCGATTTCGTGCTCGGAAGTCCGATTTCGGTTTGCTGTTTACGGAATCTATTGCTCTTCTCTAAGGCGGGATTATTTATCACTGAAAAGAGATGTCGTCTAAAAACATCAAAAATCGAGCAACTGTCATTTTTTTGAACGCTTACCTGAATTATTAGGTTTGATTTTGTAAATGGTTTGAAAAATAATAAAAACAAACAGAAAAACAAAAAAATACACTAAAAGAATATGTAAAAAGAAATCATTGTATATAAGCCGATTTTTAAATGCGCCGCAAAAGTTTTACTCTTAACCGTAAAGATAACTTTTCTGCTAGTCCTAAGCCACAGAATATATACTCTTGCCTAAGCCTAGATTTAAAGCATAAAGGAAAATCGCGCAAATCTACGAGTATCCTTGCTTCGTACAATTAATTGTTTGTGATTGTCGTTAGCTAATAAAACCAAATCATAACACAAACTAGTGAATTGGCTAAGTTCGGCACATCTGAAATCGGATATCTAAAAACGGATTTTAAAATCGATTTTGAAATCTGAAATCCGATAAATATCCGTTTGTGTTCAAAACCAAAAACGCCCATATCTAGTCGCTAGTAAAAACGGTCCTAAGTGAGAAAGCACCCAACGGGAGTGTGTCCTTTTTTTTTTAATTTATTCATGACCTGGATACAGAGTCCTTCAGTCGAATACATTGTGGGTTACAAAATATTTTTAAATTAAAACTTAAGTAGATAAGTGTCCTTCAAAGGAGAGCAAGAATTGCAATACTTAAAATTACAAAAAATAAAATTAGTTTTTTAAATTTTCAAATTTTGGTGTAAATGCTAATAATAATAAAGTTATATTTAAATGTAATTACAATCTAAGCAGTACAAATCAATTAAAACAGAAATATTTTCACTTACAAAAATATTTACAATGTATTCCTTAAACTAAATATTCTGTACAGTATTTTCTACTAATTTAAACAGTGGTTTATAAAAGTCTGAATTGTTTAGTAATTCCTGAACGTGGCGGGGGAAACTGTTTTGACTTTGCTCACAGATGTCACTGATGTCATTGATGAAGATGAGCCGGAAAAAGCGCGGGAACGTTTGACGAGCTTGGCGGTCTTTTTTAAAGAATAAAACTAAATTTATTAATTTTGTATATATTTATTGTGAATAGTGTTTTGAATAGTCTTTAATAATAAGTGTGTACATAGTGTATTAAAAAAATGAGGAATAGGAAGAGTAGAAAAGGAAAAAACAATTAGATGAACAAGGCGGCGTGGATGGAGATGGCTCTGAAGATTCTAACTTTAGCGACGTCTCCTCCATACAGTCTCTAGAAGAGAAAAAAGAAAGCTTAAACAAATATAAAGATTTCCGAATCCCTAATTACGTTCGATTTTACCCAGAACAAGGCGGAAGTTTCGAATATGTGGTATTCATTGAGAGTACAAAATCTGATCAGCCTATTGGTAATCGAGACATGATGGGATTAGCAAACTGCTTGAAGCGATATAACAAAGGTGTAAAACAGTTGCGAAGAGTGAATAAATATAAAATCGGTGTGGTATTTGAACGTCCTGGTCTGGCTAACGCGGCATTACAGAATAGAAAATTCTTGGAAGCATACAACCTGTCGGCATCTATTCCGGCAGCAGCTAGCGAAGTCACAGGTGTCATCACTCATGTGCCCACAGAATTATCGAATGAACAAATATACTCTGCATTGACTTCTACAAAAAATATCGTAAGCATTCGACGTTTTATGAGAAGAATAAGGACTGATAATGGTGAAAATAAATTGGAGCCGACAAAGACAGTTTCTATCACATTTTCATGCCCAGTATTACCTGAGAGTGTCGACCTCAACAGCTGGCGTTTCGAATTACGACCCTACATACCCCCAGTCAAGCAGTGTCTTAAGTGCCTGAGGTATGGACATATTGCCAAATTTTGTAAGAATGCAGAACGATGCTCCATATGTGGTGAGTCACATAACTTTAAACTCTGTACAAAATCAAGTCAGGATGCTGTATGTTGTCATTGCAAGGGGAACCATGTGGCTATTTCGTCACAGTGCCCTGTAAAAAAAGAAAAAATATTATTAAATAGAGAAAAGGCTCAGAATAAAACATACTCTGCTGTAATTAATGAGAAATCATTCCCTCCCTTGAAACAAAGCCCCACTGATATGCTAGCATTGCTATTAAACTCTGATTTTATTTTGAATATGGTTGTAGAGTCAATTGTCAAATTAATAACAATGAACAAAAACAATGAAACAGCTATTTCCACACAGAGTATAAAAGATACTCTCTTGGAAACAATAAATAAAAATAAGAAACAAAACACTTAATCTTTTTTTTTATGGATTTTTTAAATATAATGCAATGGAATGCTCAGAGTTTACCTGCACACAGATACTTATTAACAAATTTTCTACAAGAGAATCAGATTCATGTAGCTTTGATTTCTGAGACATGGTTAAAACCACACATTCAGTTTACTCTCAAAAGTTATGATATAATTAGACTAGATTCAGGTAACCGCCATAATGGCGTTGCCATTTTTATTCATAATAGTTTGCAATTCCATAAGATAGATACATCATTTGATGATTCAATTCAAAATATAGCTGTAAGATTGTATTATGGAAATCAAGAAATTTCTCTTGTGTCTTTATATAGTCCAGGTAACTGTAACCCTTCATTTTCTAAATCAAAACTTGATTATTTAATCAGCAGTATCCCTGGGCCTTTGCTGATTGCTGGCGATTTTAACGCCCGGCATACAGCATGGGGCTGTAGCTCTATTGATTCACGTGGGCGCGATATTATTGAAAGCATCAATGACAACAACTTAGTACTCCTAAATGATGGTCAGCTGACAACTGTTGGCTCTAGTGTATGGCAAAGGAATGCTTTGGATTTAACACTAGTATCACCCTCTTTGGCTTTGAGATGTGAATGGTCTGTTTCTGATGACCCTTTAGGCAGCTACCATTTACCTGTAATTACAAAATTAGAAATTAGTAATAATAAAGACTCATTTGAAAATTTACTTGCACTCCCTACATATTTTAATTTCCGTCTAGTAGACTGGCAAAAATATAGTGAAAATGTAGATTTCTTATTAAATAACAATTTACAATTTGACCAGTCTAATCCATTAAAATGTTATTCAGATATGGTAATATTATTAAATCTAGCGCTGCAGCAGTCTGTTACTCACACTAGTAGACAGTTTGTTCAACCACAAATATCAGCTCTAAAAGCTTCTAAGAAACGTGTTTCATTGCCTTGGTGGAATAACAACTGCAAAACAGCTGTAGATAATTGTAGGAAAGCTTATACCGAATTTAAGCATAACCTGTCAGAGGAAAGTTACCTTAAGTTTAAAAAGTTACAAGCTTTGAAAAAGCTCATTTTAAAAAAGGAAAGGAACTTAAGTTGGATGTCATTGTGTGAATCGCTTAATCGATGTATTCCTATTTCAAAGCTCTGGAGGATTGTCAGGAGGTTTAATGGTATTTCTGTTCCATCTAAAAATGTATATAGTGAATGGGTACCAGAATTTCTCAAAAAATATACACCAGATACCGTAGAGGTCCCTTTGACATTTGTAAATAGGAATCCTGTACATAATTGTAAATACTTAGAAATGCCATTTAACATACAAGAATTTAAAACTGCAGTTTCTACTCGTAGGGATACAGCTCATGGCCTCGATGGTATTCCTTATAAAATGCTAAAATATACTACAGATAAAACAAAGAATATCATCTTAAAAGTTTATAATTTGTTATGGTCTTGCTGTGTTATACCTATTGACTGGAAAAAAGATTGTTTGGTCCCCATTTTGAAACCAAATAAAGATAAGACTAAAGCAAATTCATACCGGCCAATAGCATTGACATCATGTATGGGAAAAGTATTTGAACAGCTACTCAAACAAAGAGTTGAATTTTTCATTGAAAGCAATAATCTATTACCTTCCAATCAATTTGGTTTTCGCAGGGGCCGATCCTCTAGAGAGAGTATAGCACATCTTCAACTAGACATTTTTGATGCACTTAAACAAGATGAAGTCCTTATTGGTGTGTTCTTTGATGTTGTTGGTGCTTTCAATAATGTAAATCCTCATATTTTAGCACGTGAACTTTTTTCTCTTGGTTTTCCTGAAAAAGTAGTTATGTGGATTTTTAATTTTTTGCATGGTCGTGAGGTTTATGTCAAGTCTAATAATCAATTAATAGGACCACGCTATTCATATAAAGGTGTCTGTCAAGGAGGAATTCTATCTCCATTGTTTTACATTCTTTATGTACACAAACTAAACATCATTTTAGGATCACAAGTAAAAAACTTGCAATTTGCTGATGACTTGGTCATTTACCATTCAGGTTCTGATATTCAACAGGTAACCTCTACTATAAATAGAGCACTTTTAAAATTAAATGAATATTTCAGTTATTTAAATTTAGATATTAGCCCTGACAAATCTAAAACAGTTGTATTTGGTGATTGTGATACAAATGTTGATATTGTATATAATAATGTCATTGTCCCTGTAGAGAGTGAAGTAAAATTTTTGGGTGTTATTTTCACCAATAATCTTTCATGGAAAAAATATGTAGAATATCTTTTGGGGAAAGCTTACAAAGCCTACAA